TGAGCGACAGATCGATCGGACTGAACCGACACAGAATAAAAGTATCCGAGTACTTTTACTGATGAAGTATTGACGGACTCCGGCTCTTCCCCTTCACTCCTTCTGGTTTCTGTCCTCCATTTGTGTTCTTGTATTTAATTTTCTGTTTCAGCTGTTTTCGTTGCCTCTTTCGTTCCTTTTCCACGTCTTAATAATCCGATTAATAATCTGATTAATAATCTGATTAATAATCTGATTAATAATCCGATTAATAATCTGATTAATAATCTGATAAAATGCTCAGAAATCCCTAGTCTCCATGTTTAATCAGCTGTCAGTAAACAGCTGCTCATGCTGCTCGCGGTTCGGGAGGTTCCCGATGAAACGTTCTACCGGAGCATCCGGTAAATTCTGTCCCAGCTCTGCTTTCTGATAATCTGACTTCCTGTCACGTTAAGAGGGAAAAGTCTCTGCAGATTCCTGACGAGCTGCAACCTGAACGTAAATAATTGATCAGTCGTCGATGAGGTGAGGCCCAGAGAGACGGGCCGCAGCTCCACGAGTGTCCATCAAACTGCAGGAGGAGGACATGTCCTGTTGGACGTGAAACGGCCAAACATGAACCTCCTCCTCCTCAGGTGTGACGACCCGTTTCCTGCCGGCAGTAAATCAGAGATGAAACCAAGAGTCGGCTTGTGTTGGAAGACTAATCCCGAGTCCGTCACATCTGAGCGGAGGACGTCGCTGACGAAGCAGAACCGGACACGTTGGACATCATTTCTCACGGTTTACATTTGTTCTGCTTGAATCTGTTTTAGACTCAAAGCAAACAGTTTACAACGCCAAGGCGTAAAGACAACAGCAATGCTCCTTAGAGAAGCAGCTCGTCAGTCCGTGAAGGGTCAAAGGTCATTTGGCGTCCACCATTCTACAGAGACGGATTAAACATTTAGGACAGAAGCCGGTCTTCTTATGAGTGGACCACTCCTGCTAATTCACCCTGAAGGTCAGACCGTGCAGTTCTCAGAGAAGTTGGCTCCATCTGAGACTCCACAGGCCTCAGTTAGCAGGTCAAAGGTCATGGCTCTTCTAAAGACGGCCATTTTACAATTTCATCTGTTTTCCTCAGTGGACCAGCCTGGACCTTGGGACGACTAAAGACCCGGTCGCCTCTGTGGACCAGCCTGGACCTCGAGACGACTAAAGACCCTGTCCCCTCTGTGGGGACCAGCCTGGACCTCAGGACGACTAAAGACGAGGTCGCCTCTGTGGACCAGCCTGGACATCAAGACGACTAAAGACCCGCTCACCTCTGTGGACCAGCCTGGACCTCGAGACGACTAAAGACCCTGTCCCCTCTGTGGACCAGCCTGGACCTCGAGACGACTAAAGACCCTGTCCCCTCTGTGGGGACCAGCCTGGACCTCAGGACGACTAAAGACGAGGTCGCCTCTGTGGGGACCAGCCTGGATCTCAGGATGACTAAAGACCCACTCACCTCTGTGGACCAGCCTGGACATCAGGATGACTAAAGACCCTGTCCCCTCTGTGGACCAGCCTGGACCTCAGGATGACTAAAGACCCTGTCCCCTCTGTGGACCAGCCTGGACCTCAGGATGACTAAAGACCCGGTCCCCTTTGTGGGGACCAGCCTGGACCTCAGGACGACTAAAGACGAGGTCGCCTCTGTGGGGACCAGCCTGGAACTCAGGATGACTAAAGACCCGGTCCCCTTTGTGGGGACCAGCCTGGACCTCAGGATGACTAAAGACACTGTCCCCTCTGTGGACCAGCCTGGACCTCAGGATGACTAAAGACACTGTCCCCTCTGTGGACCAGCCTGGACCTCAGGATGACTAAAGACCCGGTCCCCTTTGTGGGGACCAGCCTGGACCTCAGGATGACTAAAGACCCGGTCCCCTTTGTGGGGACCAGCCTGGACCTCAGGATGACTAAAGACACTGTCCCCTCTGTGGACCAGCCTGGACCTCAGGATGACTAAAGACCCGGTCCCCTTTGTGGGGACCAGCCTGGACCTCAGGATGACTAAAGACCCGGTCCCCTCTGTGGACCAGCCTGGACCTCAGGACGACTAAAGACCCTGTCACCTCTGTGGACCAGCCTGGACCTCAGGACGACTAAAGACCCGGTCGCCTCTGTGGACCAGCCTGTGGTCCAACCAAAGATTAAATTAATTTTTTTACATGGTTCTTTTACCGGAAGCTTCGGTAAATCTGAGACGATCAGAACCTCCTAACCACAGATCAGCAGAACTGATTCTGGACCTTCTGAGGTCTAAATTATTTTTAGATGCGTGACTGCAGACTATTTATTTTAGTTTTTTAGTTCAGATCTTCCTGCAGCTGTCTGTTCTGTCCCGATCTGTTTTTGCCCCGGTTTGTCCGGTTCTGAAGGTCGGGCTCCTCGTCCTCGTCACACAGCCGAGAGATTTAAGTGTCAGAAACGCAGCGTCAGCGCTCTCGTATCGAGTCTCTCCAGTAAAATGGTTGTTAGGAATCCTCAGGGGGGTCATCGGCACCGGGGAGCCCATCAGGGCCGGGCCTGCCGGGCCGAGTGGATTAATGAGGACTGGAGGCGCTAACGTGATCTTTAATACGAGTCGTTTCCATAAAAGTGTCGAATCATTTCAGAGATTTATTGATCCGTGTTTAACGTGGAGGATCAGCCTTCGTTTTTAAAAACTCAGGTTTTCAAGAAGATTTCCACCGAAGACGAGTCTTAAAACATTAGTTTTTTTTATTATGTGAAGTTAATTATTCCTCGTCCACTCGAGGTGAGTGATGGGAACAACTCTCAGCTACTGTCGTGTCAAACTGTAGCTCAACGTCTCGGACGTGAACAGAATTAAAGCTGTTGTTGATAACCTTCATCAGAGCTGGTGGCCATCTTGGACTACGATCACACTATTTTATTCACCGCCAGGTACAACAGTGGAGCCGGGGGTGGGGGCAGTGGTGGAGCCAAGGGGTGGCCAGTGGGGGAACCAGGGGGTGGCCAGTGGTGGAGCCAAGGGGTGGCCAGTGGGGGAACCAGGGGGTGGCCAGTTGTGGAGCCAAGGGGTGGCCAGTAGGGGAACCAGGGGGTGGCCAGTTGTGGAGCCAAGGGGTGGCCAGTAGGGGAACCAGGGGGTGGCCAGTTGTGGAGCCAAGGGGTGGCCAGTAGTGGAACTAGGGGGTGGCCAGTAGTGGAACCAGTGGGTGGCCAGTGGGGGGAACCAGGGGGTGGCCAGTGGTGGAGCCAAGGGGTGGCCAGTGGTGCAGCCAAGGGGTGGCCAGTGGTGGAACCAGTGGGTGGCCAGTGAGGTCGCCAAGGTGTGGCCAGTGGGGGAAACAAGGGGTGGCCAGTGGTGGAGCCAAGGGGTGGCCAGTGGGGGAACCAGGGGGTGGCCAGTGGTGGAGCCCAAGGGGTGGCCAGTGGTGGAGCCCAAGGGGTGGCCAGTGGGGGAGCCAAGGGGTGGCCAGTGGGGGAACCAGGGGGTGGCCAGAGAGGGCACCAAGGGGTGGCCAGTGAAGGCGCCAAGGGGTGGCCAGTAGTGGAGCCAAGGGCCTCAGCCATTGACCAGATAAGAGGTGACATTCATTTTCAGCTCAGTTGAGGTTCTGTTACATGTCCACGGCCTTGGGGGAGGGAGGGGTGAGGAAACAGTCAAAGAATCTTTGTTGTTTTCAAAACATTCCAGGAGGAGTTGAGATAAGTCCGGCGTCAAGGCCACAGTTTGGGTCAGGCAGAACTCGTGAATTGTTGTTTCTGCCTTTTTAAAGTCTCGCTGGTACATTTCTCTGATGGAACTCCAAAAACAGCCAAATTGATCCTTTTCGCAAAAAGTCGAGCTCACAGCTTCTCCAAGATTATTCCCACCATTCATGAGTGCTGCCAGGGAGAACACAGTCCTGATAACTGCTCCAGCTCCCTGCTGCAGCTCCACAAATTCAGTCTGAGCGCTGTCGAGCTTCAACACATCCACACGAATTTGTAGACAATCCAAGATTTCACCAACCCAAACAGCAAAAACCAGTTGTCACCATGAATCCAATTGTTTCCGTCGAGGTCAGAGGGTCCTCCTTATGCCCCGACCTGTCCAGAGGACCTGACTCAACCTTGTTAGATTTTTTTAAATGATTGTACGTCTGATTATTTTCTTCAAGTGTCTGTAAATTTGTCCAACGGTTCATGAGATATTTTGCTAACGGAAGCTTCCAGATATGAGCAAGAACATTTTACTGTTGCCTCTTTTTGAGCAGTAACTTCATTCTGAGTCTGAAACTCGGGCCTGAAGGCAGCGGGCGATATGCAGCATCCTTCTTTTCAGTTGGTCTGTACGGGAGAACAATTCGAATTATGTTTTCCTTTCTTGTGTGTGAAATCTGTTTTTGGTCTTTTCTCAGTGACCCGGCGCTGCAGTGAAGCAGGAAGGTACTAGAAATAGTTTTCTTGGTGAACCAGAGTCCGGTTTATGTTTCTCTAAACGGTTATCGATTGATCCAGTTGGAGCTGCTTGATCCTCTGAACAACTTCCTGTTGAAGCTGAAATTAATCCTGACCTAATTAAAGACCTGCAAGATGAAATACTCAGCTTTTATTGTGAAGGTGCCAAACACTTCCTGATGGGCATCAACGGGAGTTACATGGAGTTAAAATGAACTCCGACCTCTGACCCGTGAAGAACTTCAGGTGAAGCGCTCAGACAGGAAGTCGGCCGTGTTGTAGCGTCTGTTAGGAGTCAACAACAAACAAAAACAAAGAGGTTGTTTGTTAAAAGTTTGGCCTGAAAGGTGACCTCCATATGACTGCAGGGAAAGAAGATGATTTAATATTAAATATATTGTTTGACTGTTTTAGATGGAGTTAAACTGTTTACAGAATAAACCAGTTTTATTTTCAGAGTGAAGCAGCGCCTCCTGGAGGCAGCAGCAGCTCCTGCAGTTTTCCTGCATTCTGCACTGATTTCACTTTAATTAGTTTGATTATTGTCACTGACCCCGTGTTTTCTGTCTCGTCAGGTTTTTAATCGTTCTGGGATGTTTGATTCTGGCCATTCTGACCACCTTCAAAGAGTACGAGAAGGATTCTGCTCACTGGCTCCTGGTTCTGGTGAGATGTTCGGACCTTTTCTGACCCGGTCGGTTGTGAGGCGTTCCACCAGGTTCAGTTCTTAAAGCAAACAACTTTTCCAGTCTTAGTTAGCTTTTTATTTTTTTTGAACACTTGTCAAAATGAGCTCAGATTTCGACTTTTAACAGAAAGTTTGTGAATAATTTTAGGCTTAAGCTGATGAAGTGTTTTATTCTGCAGGAGTTGGATGTTTGAAACCAAATGGACTGTTTTTGCAGGAAACCTTTGCCATCTTCATATTCGGAGCGGAGTTTGCTCTGAGGATCTGGGCGGCGGGCTGCTGCTGTCGATACAAGGGATGGAGGGGGAGGCTGAAGTTCGCTCGCAAACCGTTGTGTATTTTAGGTAAGGTGGTGGGAAGATGAAGATATGAGACCTAGAAGTGAAAATAGACGAGCAGAAAATACGGCGTTAAAGTGACTCAGAGGTCTGAAATCTGGTTTTGGTTGTTCAGAGTTCTGCAGCTGCTCGTCAGGACGAGTCGTTGATCCAGCTCAGCTGAACTTTCTGTGACTGAACTGCTGTTTTCAGGTCTTTAATGGGTAAAAAAAACTGTGGGAAATGTACCACAGGTTGTTTAACCTCCTGCTGCCTTTGGGTCATTTTGACCCAAACCAGTTGTTTTGTCTCAAATCCCCCCAGAGGTCAGAGGTCACATCCAAACTCTCACTGACTTCTATTGTGTCTCACAAGTTGCTTCTTAAAACAGGAAGTGAAGGGTCTTTTCAGTTCATCGTATCTTCTAAAACCCAGAAACGTGCACGAACACCCACGTGACCATCAGAACCTTCTGACCCTCACAGGTTAAGAATTTGTCCAAATACTTCGATGTCTTCACACAGCAACGGTTTGAAACTTAACTTTTTCGTTCATTTCTGCATAAAGTGCTGCTGTGTGTAGCCCCGCCCCTTTATTTCTCCTTTCATAATGGAGGGAATCACCATGGAAACCAGAGACTCAGCAAATTCTGACTCTGGATTTTTTTTAAGATAAGATAGAACTTTATTGATCCCACAGGAAATTGTTGTGCCAGAGTTTCAGTACAAAGGAACAGACACAAGATATAAAAATAACAGAATATAAAAATACCAACATTAAGTTCTAAACATGTGCAGACAGAAACATTAGTTTATTGTAATACGGATTATTTTGATTGTCCTCTGTGTAGAAAGGGGGAGTAGTTGAACAGTTTGAAGGACTTCCTGTGTTGTTCTGTGGAGCACCTCGTGGTCTCAGTCTGACTGAAGGTGCTGCGGGGAGAGTCCAGGGTGTCATGCAGGGGGAGTGACGTGTTCAGGATCTGGAGCAGGTTCCTCAGCATCCTCTGCTCAGACACCTCTGTCAGAGACTGCAGGTCCACTCCCAGAACTGAACCAGCTCTCTTCATGAGATTATTGAGTCTGTTGGCATCAGCTTTATTCACCTCCAGCACACCACAGTGTAGAAGATGATGCTGGAGACCACCAAGTAGTGAAAGTGAGACCGAGTGGTAAAACATCTGTAGCATGGTCCTGCAGACTACAGAGTGGTAAAATATCTGTAGCATGGTCCAGCAGAGACCACCGAGTGGTAAAACATCTGTAGCATGGTCCTGCAGAG